TAATTTGGAAACTATTTGTGAGTATTCTTAACTTGTGGCAATAGAGTTATTTAGACAAGTGCAATAAAATATTTTCTTTTGCAATGGGACCAAATTGGAGAAAATGGTTATTTTACAAAGGCTTTGACTGAAATGGTGTGCTTTTCTTTAAGGAATCAAATCAAACTTGACTTATACAGCCAATAAAAGTCCCTTGGGAAAACTGGTCTCATACCTTGTCTACAGAGTCTCTGTACCAGGTTCCTGACCTGTGGTAAGTAAAGAATGTTACTTTCTAACAGGCCCAGGAGCCCCAAATTATCTTGGGACCTCAAGAAGAGAATTGTCCCAACTTATAGGTATTTGAGAGTAAAAACCCATGGGTGGACTCAGCTTTAAAATGTCAGCCAGGCTCGTTGGCTTATGCCTGCAATCCCAGCACTTTGGGAGGCTGAAGCAAGTGGATCGCGAGGAGAAGAGATCAAGACAATCCTGGCTAACATAGTGAAACCCTGTCTCTACTAAAAATACAAAAATTAGCTGGGCATGCTGGTGCATGCCTGTAGTCCAAGCTACTCAGGAGGCTGATGCAGGAGAATTGCTTGAACCCGGGAGATGCAGGTTGCATTGAGCTGAGATCATGACAGTGCACTCCAGCCTGGTGACAGTGAGACTCTGTCTCAAAAAATATATATATATATAATAATTTTTAAAAGTCCTATCTGAGATTCCTTATGGAACAAAGTTTCATCAAAGCCAATTTAAAAAGCCTATGTAAAAAATAATTATTGTGCTTTATGCAAATAATCAGTCAAAATGTAATAATACTAAAGTTTATTTTGCAAACAAATCAGTCCTATCATAATTAAGTATTAATAAAAATGGTGAGTAGAGAGAGAAAAATTATGTTTCAAAAAACTATAATACACATGTAGTTAGCTGCTTTTGGGTTTTATTTTTTCTGCAGTTTGGACTAAATTCTAAATTATTTGTGGGCTACAAGCCCCCAAACTAGTGCTTTCAAATCTTTACTTTTAAAAATTGGAATTGTTCTCCTTACCCTAGTACTCGTTATTTACCATATAGTACACTGTTCTGTTCCATTAAATGCAGTACTAAAACTGTTGATGACAATACTAATGCCTTTGCCATGCAAGCCTTGGAACCCCAGCCAGTCCTGCATAAGTACACTCAGACAGTTGCAGGGCAGTTCCATTCCTCTCACCTTGAGCTCAACACATACCCCCACTATGCCCCTGGTCAGCAGGAAAGAGTTAGAGTGTTGTTTGCCCTTTTTAAATCTTCTTTAGCCCACACCTTAAGATTAAGACATTATAAATCCCAAAGGGAGGTATTGAAACTGCCACTGCAAAATTATAACTGAGACAATGAAAGAGATCTGACCTAAGTAACTCCATCTTGCTTCTAGCTTCCAGCCTGTCCTTGTTCATTCCTGGGCACAGGCTAAACTAATTTTGGGAGGAATTTTATAGTTTGTAGTTAAAAAAAAATATGATAACAGGCCTTTCTCAAGACAAACCCCCTTCTTTCCTGGGGACTAGATTGCCTCTGTAGGACTAACAAATTAGCCAAAAGATTAGAAATTATGGTTTGGGAATCATGCAGCTGGAGGCTACAAGATTCTGACCATCCCCAGATTGCTCCTGGGGATAACCTCCCTATTGTAAAGCCTAAGACCAGTGCTTGAGATATTTTGCAGACCCTGCACTTGATTGATTAACTAGCACCACCCAGATCTATAAACTGGCTCATCTGATCTTGTGATCTCCACTCAGGAACTGACTCAATGCAAAAAGACAGCTTTGACTTCTTATGATTTCATCTCTTAACCTGACCAGTCAGCACTCCAAGCTCACTGGCTTCCCCCAACCCCCCAAACTGTCCTTAAAAACTCTGATCCACAAATTATCGGGGGACTGATTTGAGTAATAATAAAGCTCTGGTCTCTTGAAAACAAAACCAAACAAAACAAAGCCCAACTTTTCATCTTTTTGATCTTTGGTATTTTTTATTTTAATTTTATTTATTTTAGCTTTTATCTTTATTTTAGCTTTTCTTCTACAAGTTTTGCATTTGATTTTCTCTTGCTTTTTTAGTTCTTTAATATGCACCATCAGGTTGTTTATTTGAAGTTTTTCTGTTTTGATGCAGGTATTTATTGCTATAAACTTTCTTCTTAGAATTGATTTTACTGTATCCCAAGACCGAATTCAAATGTAAATTTGAATTGGAGAGAAAGGGTTTTTGTATTAGTTCGTTTTCACAATGCTATAAGGATACTACCTGAGACTGGGTAATTTATAAGGACAAAAGATTTAACTGACTGAGTTTTGCATGGCTGAAGAGGCTTCCGAAAACTTAAAATCATAGTGGGAGGCAGAGGAGAAACAAGTAACTTCTTCACAAGGTGGCAGGAAAGAGAGAGAGAGAAATCAAAGGGAGAAGTGCCAATTTTAAGCCATCAGATCTCATGAGAACTCACTCATTATCACGAGAACAGCATGGGGACAATTGTCCCCATGATCCAATCATATTAAAGTAGGGCCCTCACTTGACACGTGGGGATTATAGGGACTGTAATTTGAAATGAGATTTGGTTGGGACACAGAGCTAAACCATATTATTCCCTGCTGGTCCCTCCCAAATCTCATGTCATTTTTGCATTTCAAAACCAATCATGCCTTCCCAACAGTCCCCCAAGCCTTAACTCATTCCAGCATTAACCCAAAAGTCCAAGTCCAAAGTCTCATCTAAGACAAGGCAAGTCCCTTCTGCCTATAAGCCTGTTAAAATCAAATGCAAGTTAAATACTTCTAAGATACAATGGGAGTTCAGGCATGGGGTAAATTTTCTCATTCCAAATGGGAGAAATTGGCTGGAACTAAGGGGCCATAGGCCCCATGCAAGTTTGAAACTAAGTGGGGCAGTCACTAAATATTAAAGCTTCAAAATCTGGTTTGACTCCATGTGTCACATCTAGGTTGTATGGATACAAGAGGTGGGATCCCATGGCTTTAGCAGCTTTGCACCTGTGGCTTTGCAGGGTACAGCCACTGAAGCTGCTTTCACAGGCTGGTGGGTGTTGAGTTACTTTGGCTTTTCCAGAAGACTCTGGATATGAGTGGGGACTCTGTGTGGGGGTTCCAACCCCACATTTTCTCTCTGCATTGCTCTAGTAGAGGTTTTCTATAAAGGCTCCACCCTTGCAGCAGACTTCTGCCTGGACATACAGGTGTTTCCATACATCCTCTGAAATCTTGGTGGAGGCTTCCAAAGTTCAACTCTTGTCTTCTGAGCACCTGCAGGCCCAACACCACCTGGAAGCGACCAAGGATTGGGGCTTGTACCCTCTGAAGCAATAGCCCAAGCTGTATCTTGGACCCCTTTAGCCATAGCTGGAGCTGGAGTGACTGGAACCCAAGGCACCAAGTCCTGAGGGTGCACAGAGCAGTGGGACCATGATCCAGATGCCTGAAACCATTTTTTCCTCCTAGGTCTCTGGACCTGTGATGGGAGGGACTGCTGTGAAGATCTCTGATATACCCTGGAGACACTTTTTCCTTGTCTTGGCTATTAACATTCAACTCCTCATTACTTATGAAAATTTCTGCAGCAGGCTTGAATTTCTCCCCAGAAATTCTTTTTTTTTTTTTTTGTATTGCATCATAAGGCTGCAAATTTTCCAAGCTTTTAGTCTTGCTTCTCTTTTAAACATGAGTTCCAATTTCAGATTATCTCTCACAAGAACAGCATGTGGAAAAATACTCCCATGAATTAATTATCTCCACCTGGTCCCATCCTTCAAACCATACCATTCCACTGCTGACCCTTCCCAAATATCATGTTCTCACATTTCAACACATATTCATGTCCTTCCTAACAGTCACCCGAAGTCTTAACTCATTCCAGCACTAGCCTGAAAGTCCAAGTCCAAAGTCCCCTCTGAGACAAAGCAAGTTTCTTCTACCTATAAGCCTGTAAAATCAAAAGCAAATTAGTTACTTTCTAGATACCATTTGGGGGGGAGCTACAGACATTTAGTAAATACACTCATTCCAAATTGGAGAAATTGACCAAATCAAAAGGGCTACAGGCCCAATACATATCAGAAATCCATTAAGGAAGACATCAAACCTTAAAGCTCCAAAATGATCTCCTTTGACTTCATGTCTCACATCCAGGCCAAGCTGATGCAAGAAGTGGGCTCCCATGCTTTTGGGAAGCTCCACCCCTATGGCCTTGCAGGGTACAGCCCACTTCCTGACTGCTTTCTGAGGGGCTGGTATTGAGTGCCTGAGGTTTTTCCAGGCACATGGTGCAAGCTGTCAGTGAATGTACTATTCTGGGATCTGGAGGACAGTGGCTTTCTTTTCATAGCTCCACTAAGTGGGGACCTGTGTCATGGCTCCAATCTCACGTTTCCTTTCTGCATTGTCCTGGTACAGGTTCTCTATGAGGGCTCCACCCCTGAAGTCAATCCTCTCAAATCATACTGCCATTTTACCAATTAAGTTTATGTAATATTCTAGATATACAGATGCTTGGATATACAGATGTTTTTATACATCTGTATATCTCAGTGAGGTGAGATAGTGCCACTGCACTCCAGCTTAGGTGATAGGGTGAGACCCTGTCTCAATAATTAAAAAAAAAAATCAGCACATACAGATGTTTTCATACATCCTCTGAAATCTAGGTGGAGGTTCTCAAAGGTCAACTCTTGTCTTCTGTGCACCTGCAGGCCCAATACCACCTGAAAGCCACCACAATCTTCAGGGCAGCCTCTCCCATCACAGGTACAGAGGTCTAGAAAGAATAAATGATTTCATGTGTCTAGCTTATGGCCCTGCTACTCTGTACTACCTCAGGACATGGTGCCTTGGGTCCCAACCACTCCAGCTCCAACCACTGCTAAAAGTTGCCAAGAGACAGCATAGCATGACCTGATCTTCATCTGAGACCACCTCAATCTGGACTTCATTGTCCTTATTACTATCAACTTTTTGGTCAAAACCATTCAACAAATCTCTAGGAAAGTCTAAACTTTCCCACGTCCTCCTGTCTTCTTCTGAGCCCTCCAACCTGTTCCAACCTCTGCGTGTTACCAGTTTCAAAGTTGCTTCCACATTTTCAGGTTATATTTGTAATAGTACTCTACTCTGCCAGTACCAATTCTCTGTATTAGTCCATTTTCACACTGCTATTAAGATACTACCTGAGATTGGGTAATTTATAAGCAAAAGGATTTTAATTGACTCACAGTCCTTCATGGCTCAGGAGGCCTGAGTAAATGTCCAATTATGGTGGAAGGTGAAGGAGAAGCACTTACCTTCTTTACAAGGTGGCAGGAAAGACAGACAGTGAAGAGGGAAGAGCCACCTTTAAACCATCAGATTTCTTGAGAACTCACTATCACTATCATAAGAACAGTATGGGGCAACTGCCCCATAATCCAACCACCTATAACCAGATCCCTCCCTTGACACATGTAGATTACAATTCAAGATGATATTTGGGTAGGGATGCAGAGTGAAACCATATCAGTCCTTTATAAGAAGACTTAAACTAGTTAAACTGCAATGTGTGTCTCTAAAGAAGAACCTTATTTATTAACAAGATGGTTTCCAAAGATCCATTTTCTAAGATGTAGAATTTAGTTTGGGACAAATTTCTAACTCCTGATGCAGGTAAACTGTAGTAATCTGCATACCTTCTCTTACTAGGTTTCCAAATAAATGTTCCAATATGCAACATACTTTCTGAGCATGTACTCTGTGTCAGACATTTTAGGTATTAAAGAGTTCATGGCGAGGAAGACAAAACTGCTCCATGTGTGAGCTGTCCACTGCTAGACGCTAGATTGAGTTTTCTTAATGCACTAGCTCATTTAGTTTCAGGATCAATTATTTGTCTTAGATGTCTGTTAGAGTTTTAGCAACTTGTCTAAGATTATGCAAACTGCAAGTGATAGAGGTCAGATTAAACATAGGCAGCATGACTTCAGTGCCAAGATGCTCATCTCCTATATGTAGTGTCTACCTCTTAGACAAAGCTTTTTTTCGTTTTGGCTCCAAATGCAATTTAAGCTGTAAAAACATATAGTTGTGGCCCATGCCTGTAGTCTCAACACTTTATGAGACCAAGGTGGGTGAATTGCCTGAGACCAAGAGTTTGACACAAGCCTGGGCAACATGGCAAAACCCTGTCTCTATAAGAAATACATAAATTATCCAGGCAGGATGGCATACACCTTGTAGTCCCAGCTACTTGTGAGACTGAGGTGAGAAGATCACTTGAACTTGGGAGGTTGAGGCTGCAGTGAGCTGAGACAGTGCCACTGCACTCCAGCTTATGTGATATGGTGAGACCCTGTCTCAATAAAAAAACAAAAACAGAAACATGCAGTGTGATTGTTAAAAAGCAGCACATCAAAAACCTTATCCACCATGATTAAGTTGGCTTCATTCCTAGAATGCAAGGCTGGTTCAACATACACAAATCAATAAATGTAATCCATCACATAAACAGAACCAATGACAAAAACTACATGACTACCTCATTAGATGCAGAAAAAGCCTTCAATAAAATTCAAGACTTCTTCATGCTAACCCTCTCAATAAACTAGGTATTGATGGAATGTATCTCAAAATAATAAGAGCTATTTATGACAGACCCACAGCCAATATCATACTGAATGGGCAAAAGCTGGAACCATTCCCTTGAAAACCATCACAAGACAAGGATGCCCTTTCTCACCACTCCTACTGAACATAGTATTGGAAGTTCTGGCCAGGGCAATCAGGTAAGAGAAAAAAATAAAGGGTATTCAAATAGGAAGTTAAATTGTCTTTGTTTGCAGATGACATGATTGCATATTTACAAAACCCCATCATCTCAGCCCCAAATCTCCCTAAGCTAATAAGCAACTTCAGCAAAGTCTCAGGATACAAACTCAGTGTGCAGAAATCAAAAGCATTCCTACACACCAATAATGGAAAAACAGAGAGCCAAATTATGAGTGAATTCCCATTCAAAATTGCTACAAAGAAAAAAATACCTAGGAATACAATCTACAAAGGATGTGAAGAATCTCTTCAAAGATACCTACAAACCACTGCTGAAGGAGACAAAAGAGGACAAAAACAAATAGAAAATCATTCCATGTTCATGGATAGGAAGAATCAATATTGTGAAAATGGCCATACTGCTCAAAGTAATTTATAGATTTAATGCTATCTCCATCAAGCCACCATTGACTTTCTTCACAGAGTTAGAAAAATCTACTTTAAATTTCATATGAAACCAAAAACTATCCAGTTTAGCCAAGAAAATGCTAAGAAAACAACAACAACAACAGCAAAAAAAAAAAAAAAAAGCAAGTTGGAGGCATCACGCTACCTGACTTCAAACTATACTACAAAGCTACAGCAACCAAAACAGCATGGTACTGGTACCAAATCAGATATATAGACCAATGGAACAGAAAAGAGGCCTCAGAAATAATGCCACACATCTACAACCATCTAATCTTCGACAAACCTGACAAAAACTAGCAATGGGGAAAGGAGTCCCTATTTAATAAATGGTGATGGGAAAACTGGCTAGCCATATGCAGAAAACTGAAACTGGACCCTGTCCTTACACCTTATATGAAAATTAACTCAAGATAAAGACTTAAACATAAGACCTAAAACCATAAAAACCCTAGAAGAAAACCTAAGTAATACTATTCAGGACCTAGGCATGGGCAAAAACTTCATAACGAAAACACCAAAAGTAATGGCTAAAAACAAACAAACAAACAAACAAAAAGTCAAAATTGACAAATGGGACTTAATTAAAACAATTTTGCTGAGCTTCTGCCCAGGAAAATAAACTATCTCAGAGTGATCAGACAACCTACAGAATGGGAGAAAATTTTTGCAATCTATCCATCTGACAAAGGGCTAATATCCAGAATCTTAAAGAACTTAAACAAATTTACAAGGAAAAACAACCAACCCCATCACAAGGTGGGCAAAGGGTATCAACAGACATTTCTCAAAAGAAGACATTTATGTGGCCAACAAACATGAAAAAAGCTCATCATCACTGGTCATTATAGAAATGCAAATCAAAACCATATTGAGATACCATCTCACACCAGTTAGAAACGCAATCATTAAAAAGTCAGGAAACAACAGATGCTGGAGAGGATATAGAGAAATAGGAATGCTTTTACCCTATTGCTGGGAGTGTAAATTAGTTCAACCATTGTGGAAAACAGTGTGGTGATTCCTCAAGGATCTAGACCCAGAAATACCATTTGACACAGCAATCCCATTTCTGGGTATATACCCAAAGGATTATAAATCATTCTACTCTAAAGACATATGCACACGTATGTTTATTGCAACACTATTCACAATAGCAAAGACTTGCAATCAACCCAGGTGCCCATCAGTGATAGACTGAATAAAGAAAATGTGGCACAAATACACCATGGAATACTATGCAGCCATAAAAAAAAAGGATGAGTTCATGTCCTTTGCAGGGACATGGATGAAACTGGAAACCATCATTCTCAGCAAACTAACACAGGAACAGAAAACCAAACACTACATGTTCTCACTTATAAGTGGAAGTTGAACAAAGAGAACATCTGGACACAGGGAGGGGAACATCACCAGGGCCTGTCAGGGATTGAGGGGCAAGTGAGGGATAGCATTAGGAGAAATACCTAATGTAAATGATGGGTCGATGGGTGCAGCAAACCACCATGGTACGTGTATACCTATGTAACGAACATGCACATTCCACACATGTATCCCAGAACTAGAAGTATAACTTAAAAACAAAAAACAAAAAACAAAACACTGCAAAATGTAAAGGAAAAGAGAAATTAGATCATATGAGGTGAAAGTAACTGATTTGAAGGCCAGTAGGCAAAAAGTATGGTACTGAATTCTGCTTCTTTGTCCTTTGTCTAGAATCATCTTTACGGCTTTAATTAACCTGTCTTCAGAATAATGCTCCTTACCCAGTACTTATAACTTGACAGGATTACAGAGAACGGCCTTTAATGATGGCTGGATTTGTTATCAGTTTAAATTGCCATTTATAGAAGGTAATATAAATGGTGGTCATAGATAATATAATTAAATATAATAATTAAAATGTGTCTGAAGAGTCATGATGTGCGGGGAAATATTTATATATTGTTCAAGATAAACTTTGGGAATTAAAATGGCCTGACTCATGAAGGAATTGCGTGGAGGATTATATTAAGCTACTGCTGATTTTCAATGACTGTCACAAGAGGGTGAATTTTTCATTTCGTTGTTTCCACTGGAGAACAATAAAATGTCATATCTTTGGCTAAATAATAGTTTATATGTGCATTTCTATATGTTTTTCAGCTTCTTAACTTTGTAAAATATTTGAAACTAAAATTGATCCTTTTGTGTTTCTAATTAGTTGCTGAAATAAATGTCAGAAATATTTTCCTTTTTAGCACAATTTTTTTTTTTTGTTTATCATCGCAAGCATTCCAGGGAGACTCCTTAGGAAAGTTCAGCAGAGGTGTCTCTGGTAATTGACATAGATGTTGTTCAAATAATTTATAGCTTTCCATTAGTGCCTGCCTGCCAGGAATTTGTGTCAGTCTATAAGGACTCATACTAGGTCAGGGCCTCTGTGGTTGTGGTAGTGAAAATCTAGAAATGGGTTCCACCCTTCCTTTGTCCTTCTTGCTCTCTTGTACCACAGTATTTTCTGGTAGCCAACCTCATTTTGCTTCAAACAGGCAGAATGAAACAGAGTGAGTAACTACAAAGGAGAAGGAGACTTTTAGGAGGGAGTTCTGCAGAGAACTGCAGAAAAAAAGAGGAATATGGCTGAAAAGGGTCCCAGGCTGGGACCTCAGTACCTGAAGTCAGTTGACACTGCTGTATGTACTGACTTCTCCATATCTTGTAACTGTGAATACAAAATGGCTCTTCGGTGAGTCAAAATTTCTGTGTGTAGCAGACTCTGCATTTGGAGTCTCTCCTTCTGTCAAAAGCTCCTGGTTTTCTATGTGGAAATGTATTCTTTTCTGTAATTTTCTTATTATTTGAAATCAGGTTTTTAAATACTAATAGATCACCTACTTCT